GGGCGCTTGCTCGCGCTCGAGGGGAGGCAGGGGGTGTCGGGGCGGGGGGGTTCGGGGGAGGGGCTGGCGGGAGAGTCGCCGACCAGTTTTGTTAACACCGCTAGGTATCCACTGGTCCAATCTTGGGTCTCACGAATGAGTGCAGGCGCGTCGAGTCGACTCGAAGCAGGCAGCTGTGCGGCGGGGCGCACGGAGCAAGGAGGCGGCTGTGCGACGGTGCGCACGGTCCGCGGTCGGAGCGAGAATGTTGCTGTCTCTGCGCGGCGCCAATCGCGCTTATATACGCCGAACGAAGCGTTCGAGAAAGTGCCTGTTAAATTGAGAGTTAGCTAGCACCCGCGAGTACAAAATACCTACGCAGGTAACACGCATAACTTGTAAACAAGTGCAGATGTCGTTGCACTTTCTCCCTTACGCCGCACTGTATAAGGCTCATTTTAGAATGAGCCGCATTACTCGACCTCTATCGCAACCCGCGGTGCTCTGGCACATTCGATCTCTAGCACTTTCGCGGTTCGGTTATTAAATAATATTTGAATGATAAAACTTCATGGCTGTAACTGCAAATTTGTTTTGTATTTGTTTGCATTGTCGTACAGATAAATTATCTTAATTCAAAGTAACTATTTTGCAGTTTGGTTTGAGTGGTTATGGGTAGTCATGCTCTCTTAAAAATCTCTTCGGCGGCGGTGTCGTGTGAGGCGGGTCGTTGCGTTTCCTAAAATATGGTTGAGCGAAATGATGGCTAGTTCATGCGTCATGCTCGTGAACGGGTGCTGCCAGCGGAGATGAGTCTGCTCTTGTTACATTGGGTACCATTAATCGTTGTACTTAACTTAAATCGTTCATTTTTTATGCCTACTGTTAGGATACGGCATTCCTAAAGTTTGTTAAACCAGTTTTTTTTTAATTTTTTATTTTATAGTCATAATTCTTATATTATTGACATTTGTAATGGAAAGTGACTTCTTAAGTTAACTCATATTTAAGTCATTTTTCAATTTGACGACTCTGTATATAATACAGGGAGAAAAAAAACAGCCCTTGCTGAGTTTCTCGCCGGTTCTTCTCAGTAAAAGTTCTCCCGCCGTAGATTTGCGAACCGATGGCGTAGCTTTTCGACATTCACAAGTGCTTGTAACAGTCTAGACTGAATACACGATATTGATTTTGATTTTGAATAATAGGTCTGCTGGTAGATTACTTACCCATGTACCATACTATTGAAATAACATGTGCACAACTGCCTATCGTACGATTTCCTCTTAAACAAGTGCAGTACCACTGTGTTATAGCATGTATGTCTGTTATATCTCTATTTATTAAAATGCAACAATAGTACAAACGTGACCTGACATGTCTCGATTGTATGCGCCCTCGAATCAACCAGGCATTATTTATATTTATTTTTTATTTATTTATTTTATTTTAGGAAGGTTTACAGCTATCAATGACTTATTAAATAAACAAACAACAATATCCAAAAGCCAATTAAAAACCTCCACATATTAAACATGCTTATATAACTATAACTATCTCATAATATTTTATCCTACTATAATATGCTTACATGCTTATAATTCATATCATAATATATTTATTACAGCTAACAATTTATACTAACTTAAAAAAAAACAGAAAGGAAACAGACGCCGGTTTGAATATTGAGCATACCCATTTATTTAATTAATGCCTATTTAAAATAATTCGAAGCTATAGCTCGTCTGACTGTCGCTGGGCTTGTCGAGAATAAGTCAAAGTCGTTCTCAATACTATACTTGTTGTAAATTTCACATCCACGCATTAGGAATGTGTTGTGTCGATAGTTTGTGTGAGCAAAGGGTACATTGAGCAACTGGCGACGACGCAGACTTAGTACATTAGTACGAAGACCAATCTTCGACAATAACTCCGCGCAATCAATGCTGCCATTAGCAAGTTTAGATAAAAAACAAGCGTCATTTACTTCACGGCGAATTTGAAGAGGAAGAAAGTGATAACGCTTGCAACGATGCTCGTAACTTGCAGAATACTGTCGGGCTTTAAAATCGAGAAATCGCAGAAATCTTTTTTGTACCTTCTCCAAGCGCGTAATGTAAATATTGTACATCGGATTCCACACCTGCGAGGCGTATTCCATATGGCTGCGTACGAAGGCACAGTACAACACTTTTATCGCTTTTATAGAATTGAAGTCGCTGGACATACGCATTACAAACCCCAAAGCTTTAGAAGCTTTACTAGCAATATGATCAATATGATCATTAAACATTAGTTTGGCGTCATGTATGACACCTAAATCTCTAATCTTGTTAACCCGGGCTAATCTGAGATTGAAAAATCTGTAATCAGATTCTATTATATGCGTTTTTCGTGTGAATGTCATATAAAAACCATTTTGATACATTAAGATCCAACTTATTAAGAAGACAGTATTGCTCAAACCGTTGTAGATCTTGTTGTAATTTGATAACATCCAATGAACTACGAATTACTTTTAGAACCTTCATGTCATCCGCATATAAAATTATTTTAGAATTAAGGAAACATTTATTAATGTCTAAAATAAAAATGATAAATAAAAGTGGACCTAAAATCGATCCTTGGGGCACGCCAGATGGTATATCTATCCACCTCGACACATAACCTCGTAGGACTACAGCTTGGTTACGATTTTCAATATAAGACGTAAACCAACGAAGTAAATTGCCATGTATGCCTGCAGAATGGAGCTTGGAGAGCAATACTTGATGATCTATTCTGTCAAAACATTTTTGGTAGTCGGTATAGACAACATCTACTTGAGCACCATTCTCCATTGCCTCCACTCATTCGCTACTAAAAGGTTGCTGGTTGTAGAGCGCTTTTTAAGGAAACCATGTTGTTCTTCGTTAAATAAAATGTTAAGGCTGGAGTAGACGTCTTGGTAAACTAGTTTTTCAAGAATTTTGGCAAACAAACATAATTTTGATATTGGGCGGTAGTTTTCTACATTATTTTTGTCACCTTTTTTAAATATCGGTGTAATGAAAGCCGATTTCCATATTTTGGGAACAGTTCCCTCAGATAGAGAGCGACTGAACAATATGCAGAGCGGCCTCACTAAACTTTCAGCAAATTTTACTATAAAAAGAGGGGGAATCAAATCTGGTCCACTGGATTTGCTTAAATCAAGAGATTTTAAGAGTTTAAGTACTTTAATAGGATCAACTTCGACATCACTCACACTGTGGAGGTTGTTGTTGATATTTATTGTGGTATGACTCAATTGATAATTAGGCTTTAAAAAAGTGAACAGAAAATACTCCGCAAACAAGTCACTAATTCCCTCGCCGGTGTCCGCGCTCACAGATTTGTAATTCATTACACTGGGAAAAGTTGAGCTACTTCTCTTAGATTTTACAAATGCCCAAAATGCTTTAGGGTTTTTTATAATTGAGGATTCAACGCGTTTAATGTACTCACCAAAACAGACCTTTTCAAGTTCGTAGACTCTTTTACGTAACAAGGAGAAAGATTGGTAATCAGATAAGTTACCGTAAGTTTTATATTTTGAGTGGTACTTCGATTTTTCCTTTAACACCTTAATGAGACTTTGGTTATACCATGGTGGATATGAGCCGGGCTTAATACGTTTATGAGGTATATATTTATCACGAATATGGTACAATTTGTTATAAAAATTGGTAACTGCGTCTTCTAATGAACCTGCCCCCAAGTAATTGTACCAATCAATATTGTCAAGTTCGGACGTAATCGCACTGTAGTCACCCCGAGCAAAAATATATTTCATACGGCTCGTCTCTTTTAGCTCATGAATTGCAACAAATTCAGCGTGAATTTCAAGAGACTTGTGGTGCAAATCCTCCGTAACCAATGGCTAGACACAGCTATTTATGTTTAAATTACCATTGGAAAATACCAAATCAAGAATGCGATTATTATGATTGTATTCTCCATTAAATTGACTAAAATTACATGTGTCGATGGTGTCGAAAAAATCATTCAAAAAATCGGCGGAATGGTTAACCGGCGTCATTGTCACTTCGTCGTTTGACCTTATCCAGTGGACATTATTACCGAGATTAAAATCACCCATTACAATAAATTTGTCCAATGGGTGACTACATACTATTTCACTCAATTTATCTAAAAAACTTTTAAGTTGTTCTTTGTACGATTTACCACCCTCCTCCTTACATAAATATAATGTACACATATGCATTTTATATGTTACGGCCAGTCTTTTGTGTTTCAATAACAAAGTTATCCAAATGTCCTCTGCCGAGCTGTTCCATTCAGGGTTGCATACGACAGGGAGATCGCGCCGCACCGCCAGCAAAACGCCACCGCCCAAAGTAATACCTAGCCTAGCATAATCACGATCCCGCCGGTAAACTAGATACCGACTATCAAACAACTCAGTGTCACATATGCCATCCAACAACCACGACTCAGAAATAGATATAATATCGTAATTATTAACACACACATTTCTATAAAAACAACTTACCTTTGTATGCAATCCCCTTGCATTTTGGTAATAGATCCTTAAAGCATACACTTTTCATTAAAACCACAACTGTTTAAAATTAACTTACCAGCACTATAACTTAATAGAAATGAACAATTACATAAATTAAATCCGCTCATCAAAAAATAACTTGTAAATAAGTTATTCACGACTTCGTACCAATCGTAAAAAATAATTAAACAACATAGGTAGTATAATAAACAATGACCGGGTATACCTCCGCAAGCATCTATGCACTGAACGACACAAATAACTCTAAACATAAAAATCAACAGCGGATAAATTGAATACACTACCAGCAATACAAAGGCGATACCTGTTAATGACTTCACCAACTGAGCTATATAAAAGATCATAAGCGACAAAGATCGATAAGCAATTATAAGCTCTAATGCAATGAACTCGCTACAAAATTTATTTGCGTTTTATATATGGGATAGTTAATCATAGACCCAATCAAGCTAACGACTTCCAGCAAATTTTCTTTTGGAGAATGAGGAACACCTTTTATCTCAGCGTTGTTCAAACGTAACCATTGATCTTTCTCATTAGCCTCTTGTTTTAGTCTATTTAAGTCCGCTTCAATAATTGTCACTCGATCTTCCATTCCCTCCACCCGTGTAAGACGTTCTTCAAACTTCTCAAACTTATCGTTAAATTCTTTTAAGCAGGTATTTGTCAGAGTAACTTGCGATTTCAACTCCGAAATTTCTGCACGCAATGCCCCGACCTCAACTGAAAGGGATTCCAACGGAGCCAACTTTAAGGCTAAGGCTTTAAGTTCCGCCATAATGGATGAATCACTTGTCGGCTGTGGTGATCTTGAGCCTGATTGCTTACATTTATGGCATTTCCAAGCCTGCTTCCTATCAACACCCAGTTTTCTGAAGCCTACTTCAGTTATGCCCGCACATTGATAGTGCAAATCCTGGTCACATGATGAGCAGTGCGCTCCTTCTACAACAGCTTCGTCACACTGACCGCATAAAGACATGGCGAAAGTTTGAGAATCTATGGATTTTTTAGATAAGCACACGCGGATTAACCGGTTAACACGACCGTTCACAGACCAGTGCCAGTCGCGACTGGCACTGGCACAAGACATATTATATCTTTGTAAATCATGCAATTGACTCCGAACAATTCTATATAGTGAATCCCATTGCGAATATGCTCAGCACAGTATGATTTTGCAAGTTTTGTGTGGTAGGTGCCCAATATAACATCTTTCTCTCAAAATGTGGCATCTTAGCTTCCATACCTACGAAATTCACTCTTTGCCTATTAAGATTTTTGCCTTCAACATAATTATGCAAGAGGTTGGGAGCATTTATTTGTGTTTGAATTATGTCTAGGAATTCTGACGCGAGCCTATTGTCCGTTGCCACACGATAGTGAGCATTTATTGAAGACGCTAGGATGCGAAATTCAATAAACATGTTGGGTAACGCACGATTAAAATAAGTTTGCTTCAATAGTTTGAATCGGTTTTTGAACTTTCCGTTCTCCGCCTCCACAGCCCATATTGTTACTAAACGGGACTCATTCGCCTGTTCAGTTGTTAATTGAGTCGCGATTCTATTTTTACTAGATGACATAAGAGCTTCATAGCCAAGCGACTCAATATCAGGCATGCTGTCCCTAAATCGTCTGTCCAAAATGAAGACGTCTCTCTCATGCAGCAGTTGCTCATCTTCATGCATTATGTTTTGCAAAATAGTTGCATCTGAAGTTGTTGCTGGGCCTAATGTATGTACCCTTCGCTGGCAACCAGCACAAAGGTTTTAATAAGTTTCGGAACTTGTGGTGGCTATAGCTTTTACTTTTAAATAAAAAAATACTGTTTTTTTTTTTCAATATATATGTAAGTACCATCTGCATTTAGAATTAATTTAGTATTTTCCTGATTTACAAAAATATGTTTGGGTATTAAAAAGTTTCTTTTAAAAAGCTCATCTCTAGAAATATGGCCTAGGCCAAGATGTCGTGGGACATATTCTTCTGTCAAACACTGTCGTGCTATTTTTATTCTATATTCGAACACTCGACGTGTCACGCCGAAAAGTGTTGCAAGTCTTTCATTTGATTCTCCTGTTCTAAGTTTTGTTAGAAAAGCGGCTAGTACCGATCGTGGGTCTCTGGATTTTTCAGCAAGAGATGGCGTTTCTTCCAACATGCTATTGAATTGATCCAAAGTTAAACCGGTCCTAAATTTAATTTCACTACTATTGAGTGAAATCACGAATTCTAAATCGAACCTAGACCTATTGTTAATGGTATTCATCAACATGTGTGTCAAGTAACTAAAAAATGAAGAGTCAAAATAATTAGTAACGTTCACGTTATCCAATAACTGTTCAAAGTCGTGGTACATCAAATATTCTCCGCACATTCGCGCACTTGGGGGAATATATAGTTTGTAATGGCATACCCAATATAGCTTCAGAGCCACTGGAACTCGTTTGGTTTCTGCATTGCCTGTACATACAGCTGCGTGAAGAATTTGCTGCTCTTACGTAATCACTGACATAGAATTCACGTTTTGCATCGTCCTGAGGTTCTTCTTGATCTTCTGCAATATTGGGAGTTTCCTGATTTTCAACGTTGTTTGAAGGCTCTGGTTCTGGACCTCCGATAACGACAGGATCGTTATCACGGCGTCATTGAAGCACAGCATTATTGGCTCTCTCCTAGTTAATCTATAGTTAAACTTCGTCACACAAAAGTCGACTCTAACGGTGATAAAAAACGATTTATAGTTTCGTAGGTAGAGCGGTCCTTGGGCAGCTTGGTGTTTGACGGTGTAATTTTTTTCCCGAGCGCGCTCCTTAAGAACCATTTTGTTGAGAATGGGTAGTGTTATTAATAAAATGTATTTCACCATATTACTGTACTGGATCCTGGCGAAATGAGAATCGGTCCTTTCGCGAATCTGACTTTGACGAAAACAAATGAACTAAACATATTTTTCTTAGAACTCATAAATGATGCATAAACATAAATCACAATTTTCTTGTTAAGCCGGGTATTCACTTAGGATCGCAAACCTGTTGCATTCCGAGCTCCTGCAACTCTCTATGGAGACGGTGCGCGCATCTCCACAGGAACATGTCTTTTGATATCACTGATCTTAGCCGAAAACTCCCGTTTACAATATGTAAATTGAGCTTTTTTAAATCACCAGGCACAGGTTTTAACCAATGGGGTCCTCCCTCTTTATCCCTCAGAGATAAAATTTATCAAGCCGTCAGGTGTTATAAAAACCAAATACTTAATGCAAATATTACAGCGTTATATTGAGACCCCGTAAACGATTGGTGCGAAGCGTTGCCTGGATTTCTCGATTTGAATTTCGAAACAATCTTTTAATGAAATCGCTCTAAAATAGCGATTCCTAAAAGCGGCGAGTTTTCCCTGATATTATCTGTTGATGACCAGATAATAAGCTGATTCAGACGGAATGCAACTTTTGGGAGAGTTTTTTTTTATATTTAGTCACAGGACTCTCAGAGAGGCTAAAATGTATTGCAAGCATTGAGTTAAGATCATGCCAACGTATTTTTCGTAACTAGGATTTGAATAGATGATATTCCCGTGAAGTCTTGAAATGTTGAATACAAAAGTATGAATGGGCAGCAATGCCTATCAGTACATTGGATTTCGAGATAAAGCCATTAAAGCGCCCTTTTACATAAGATTGAAGAAAATTTTATTCATTGTTTTTGTTATTTCTAAATAATTTGACTCGTTATCACTAGCATTAAAACGATGAACCAGTAATGTCACTTAAGTTTGAGTTGCTGATCGTGAAGCTAACGTTTGGGTCGAGATTTTTAGGGATTGCATTATTTTTAACTATGTGTTGTTTCCATTTGGCTGGCATATCATAAGAGTTTAGTTTTCATTTTTGGTTTCATATTAACCTGCTCTACTTGTACTATACAATATTTATACATCGTTAAAAAGGTGAATTAGACACAAATCGGACACTTAATTTGTTTCAAAGTCAAAATTAACCAAAAAAACAATGTGCGCCTTCTCGCTGCTAAGGGCTAACTGGCGGCGACCGTCACAGTGACGTCATAGCTACTGCGGCGGCCGGCCTTTGAAATTCACTAGTAATTTGGTCATAACTTCGTCAATTTTGGTCGTAGAACAATAATTTTTGAACTATATGTTAAGGATTTCTTAACTTTATAAATCTGCATGCTCAACTAAAAACGTTACGAATCCTCATTGTCAGCCGTCACGTTACGGTTGGGTCCTTAATTGGGTTTTGTGAGGCATAGGACACTGAGTTGGAACTAGATTTTTTTCTTGTGCTATCAATCCGGTACGATCAGTCTTTTCCAGAGTATTTATACCCAATATAAAATGATAGTTATTGGCATCACATAGTGCTCGAATTATCAATCCAGACTTTTTTGCCATGTATGACATCATGTGGCTTCTTCCTCGAAATTTGACGAGTATTTCATTCACTGTGCCAAATTCGTTCAATTCAACTATTGAGAATTAATCACAAACTTATTGAATATAGGGGATATGACAGCCAACTTATCAGTCTTCATCCTCTCTTCCCGATCATCTGTGTTGTCAAATCCTAGACACAATAACAAAACCAGAAATCTTGTCTGTGACATTCCGCAACTTAATATCTCACAACCTGTGCCATCTGAAGCGATCAAGTAAATAGTGTTTTCATCATGTGATTTTAAAACAGGTGAAAACAATAGCCCAATAAAGGATTTCAGTTCAACAATGTCGAAATCATTTAGGTCTGTTATAACGGACAAACTTTGTTCTGTAACTAGAAATAACTAACTATCAGAGTTTGTGATATATTTGGCAATAAACTAGAAATAATAACATCGGTCCAAGTTATCATAGGATATTCCTTGGAAAAAAGGAGGCCACATTTTGCAAACTTTACTTCCAATTTTTCTTCTGCGACCTATCTAACCCCGTCTGCTAACTTTTGGTCACGTTTTATGGCTGGTGTCTGCACAGATCTCGCACGAAAAAACTAGGCAATCAGAGAACCATCGTGTGTTTTGCACCGGCTTACGTATAGCTCTAAGATCCATAACGGAGCTCAAACAAAAGACCACTTATGTGCTGATATCTGGTTTGCGTTTTTGCATATCCTACTGGTAGGTTTTCATTATTGAATAGTTCCTTAATTTTGGTTAAATAACTTTCACAGTTTGAATCTTTGTATTTATTTTATAAATGATGCAATGATAATGCTAATTTATTTTCTGTGTGCTTTACAAACTGACAAGTTTCAATATTTCTCTTTGTGCATTCTTCTAATAAGTCTTATTGGTATCTAATACAGGATCCTGGTGTTTTCGTTTGCACATTTCTTTTGTAAAATACTAACATTTTTAATGTAGATCCAACTTTTGAGAGGTTGGATTTTTTCTATTAGCACTCAACTGACGTACAGGAGGGCTCTCCGCTGCGAAGGTGCAACCAGGGTCGGACTGGACCGGAAGGGCCCGGGTGGCTGATCACAATCCGGGGGCCCGAGACTAGACCATGGTGATGGGATACTATCGAAAAATACTGAGATACACAAATTGAGATAAACAAACTATAAAAAATTTATTACTATACTAAAATACAATACAATAGTAAGTAGGTATTTACTTAGAACAAATTATATAAAGCTAGCCAATCAACATTTTTTTTAAAAGAGGAGAACTTTCAGCTAAGCAGTTAATGACTCGATCGTAAAAGCTGTTGTTTTCGTCATCCTTGATTAGATCCGTTTCTGTATTTAATATAATCAACGAATCCAACAGTTCTTGCCCCAGTAAAGAACGAAGTCTCGTTTTAATGCGCTTCAATGCTGAAAATCGTCTCTCACAAGTCACTTGCGTGAATGAAATTGTGAGAATTACACAATATGCAACATATAAGGTGGTGTACGTGCTGATATGCATATTATACTGTGATAAAAGTTTACATGCACATGGTATGCAACTTTGACAGACGTCCAAACCACTTCTGGAAAAACACATGGCGTCCTTTGCTGCCTGGTCTATGTCTAAAACATCTTCGTCGCTTTGTGAATCTGAATCTTGCTTATGCTGCCTAGGAGAAATGTGCTCATCCCAAAGAGTTTTAGACAGTTCACTAAACTTATTTGCAAAAGTTTCCAGTTCTTTTGACAGCAACTCTCGATCGACATTTGCAATTGATGCGATAGACTTTAGCGCGTCATTAGGAATTCCATTTTCTTTGATTTTATTGAAGTTTTTCGGGTCCAAACAAGCGGCATCTTTCATTAAATCTTCGTTGCACATGAATTTTTCGTTTATTTTAACTAAAGCTGTATTAATAATGACTTTGTAGACAGAAATAGAATAAAATCTCTTTGGGTCTGTAGCCAATAATGCTACTTCATCTTCACATAACTGCTCACGTTTCTTCGGTTTTTTAGAAATTCTTCGTAACGGTAACGTGGTTTGTACGTCGAGATCAATGTTTTCAGCGTGCATCAAGTCTTGAACATCGGATGCAAATAAACTTGCAGCTTTGAAAACATCATCAAAAGTATCTAAATGTCTTCGTAAATCCATGTCTAAACATTTGATGAATCCCCAAGCTTTAAGATAATCCAATGTAGGGGTTTGGAGATATTGGCTTACTGGGGTTGATAGGTCAAATATTTTCTTGAACGTGAAGGCTGTCAGGATAGTTTCGAATTTCAAAAAAGAATCCATCAAAGCTTTTGCTTGGAACGAAACCTTTGGCTCGAACTCCATGCTTGAAGATATGGCACTTAAAGTTTTTATTAACGCCACATATCGAGTTTTCTCCATAACAGTGGTCAAGGCTTTGTCTTTAGCCCACCATCTTGTTTTTCCGATATTCTGTAATCGTCTCAATTTGTCTTGTCCAGCTGTTAATTCTGAAATTTTCTCCACCCATAGAGATGTGCGCTTAAATGATTCATGAATAAATACACTGGTAGACTCCAAGAGCCCAAACAAATTCTTGGCTTCAGTACAGCTTGACGTCGCGCCTCCCAGCACTAAATTTAAAACATGTGCATAACAATGTGTGAAAATTAATTTTGGCACTTCTTCCTTCAGTTTTGCTTGAAGACCATTATACCTTCCCGCCATATTTCCGGCGCCATCAAATGACACGCTAATAATATCTTGCAAATTTAAGCCTAACTGGGCTAGTTCATTGCTTACAAGAGCTCGGTAATCTTCTCCTGTTGATTTCCGGACAGGGACCATGCTGAGCATCCGCTCTTGTGGGATCCCACTCTTAACATAGCGCACGCAAATTGCAGCCTGGTCAACAACGCCAACATCCTGGCAAGAATCCACATTAAGGCTAAAAGATTTCGCCGCCTGGATTTCTTTAACGATTTCTAGTTTAACTTGACGTGCACATATATTTATTAATTTATTTATAGTGGTTTTTGATAAAAAGGTAACAAGCCCACCTCGACCCTTACCTTTTCCTGAGTCTTTTCTTTTTTTACTTTCAGTAATTGCCTCGGACATGTGCGCCTTAAGAACTGGATCATACTTCGACAATAGGACAACTAAATTTAAAAAGTTTCCGTGATTCTGGTTGTCGTCTGCGATATCCGCTAACGAGTACAAGGCCTCACTTTTTCCACGATAAGCAATGCCTTGTTTAGATATAAATAGTATTATATCAATTATTCTTTTCAGGACCAGACGCCTATTGGAAATCTCTTGCATATTCTTTAGCGTGAGATGTTGTTCCAGATTTCCTCTTTTTTTTGCTGTAAGCAAGGCAACTACGGCTAACTGATGACTGTGGCTTTCCTCGTGTTTGACAAGTTGTTCATAAATATGTTTTTTGGATGGAGTAACGCCATCAATAAATGGACTTCTTCCTCCTCCTTCTTCTTTCTTGGCGTCAGACGCAAAACACATGCAGGTGGTACAAAATAGCTTGTTTAATTCAAGAGAATAAGAGACAGATTCTCGTCGAATTAAAGTTCCTGTTGGTAATTTTCGGTAGTAAACCCGATTTGCATCGAAAGGCAAACTGTTTTTATCACCCGAAGGTTGGATAGGGTGAACAGATAAGATACTTAATTTCTCGGCAGTCGTAGCATTTTTCCTTGGCGAAGCAAATTCAGAAAGTTTTTGAATTTGACTGCAATCATCGACTGTTAATGTTAGTGGCTTTAACGCAACGTTGTCAATATTTCCACCAGATCCAGTGTCGCTGGACGTAATTGAAGTAATTGTGTCTTTAGGATTAGAAACACATTCATTTGCTCCTTGTGGTGCTGTGTCTTGCGTGATTATTATGGGTAGAGTCGCCGCTGCTATGTTCTCTTCTGAATTACTTGCATACGAAAGTGAATCCAATTTTTCGTCTAACATTGATGATGATGATGAGGGTCCTATAAAAATAAAATATTGTATAAATATTTAATAGCTATACACATTCAAAAAATATCATTGAAATCGGTTGAGGGGTTTCAGAAATTTTAAAAGTCCGTTTTTCGTCTGCAATATGCGTAAAGGGATTTCATTTCATTACAAAAATCATCTATCTACGTTCAAGGGTATGGCCGGGGCACTAATGAGTTAATCAGCCAATACTCTTGTTTATAATAACATTAAGATTTCTAAAAATGTAGCATTCCCTACAATATTTCGTACCTATCTGTAGCTTAAAATTTATACATCAAAGTCAATATATAAAAAGACGTAATTTTGGCTTAGAACAGATAAATTTGACAAATTTGTAGATTATAATGAAGCATAGAATTATAACACCCAGAAGCCGTCTCTGCGCCCTGCAATCACATCCAGTCAAATCACACCACCATCCACCGTGGTGTGATACGCTCGACAGCCCCGTAGTGTCAAAAGTCAACCGACCCCGTGCGCATATCATGTACATTTTGGTTAACTAAAAACAAGTCTGTGTTAATAAGCCTTATTAAAACTGTACAGAAGTATATATCCATTTCCCATATTTTTGGGGAAATGTCATTTGACTGGTAACATTATTTTACGTTTGTGTTGCGTGCGACTACCAAGCAAAACGATGTGTGCGTTTTATGCCTCAAATTTTACGCAGCGGCCAGTAGTAAGGCTATCCTTCTGGAAGCCAATTCTCAGTCAAATAGAGATAGAAATATGCTCATGTCGAAAAAAAATGGCCGATGTCGTGTGTTCCCCATACAATTTCATCCGACATTCCTCAATTTTTTCGGCATATTTCTATCTGTATTTGACTAAGAATTGGCCTCCTAGGCGTTATAATTCTATGTAAAGAAGGAATTAAAAAGCGAAACTACAGGTAAAACTAGCTAACAAATATGTAAAGATTTGTTAAATTAGAAAAAAAAAACTGTATTAAATTAAATCTATTTACCTGGTTGCGATTCGCTCCGATTTTGAGGATCTTCAAGCTCTTGAGATGTAGACGTGAAGGAAAGCCTGGATTGCTTTGGGTTCGAAGCCGCTGCTTGTAATTCTATCTTTCTTTTATTTTTCCGTTTCTCCGAACCAGATTTAGGTTTATATGCCGCTGAACGTGACTGAAACCGTGAAGTATATATCAATTTGAGTAATACTTAGGTACATATATAATATTAGATTACAAATGCTCCAAAGTGACTTTTTTTCAGAAAGCAATAAAAATAATATTATGCAACTTACCTTTTCCATTGTAACAGTTTCTCGATGTAACGTAAGTCAGTATAATATTTAAAAACAACGTAATTCAACTAGAGTATCGGCGGTAAGGGCAATACAAACCGACTAAACAATGGAATGCGATTCAAGGAGCAGCGAACGCACGCGTCGGGGATTCCCCAAACCACAGACTCTTTACTTGCGTAATGCGTTCCGTTTCATCAAAATTATGAGATGAGAGTGAATAAATACGTTACGTTTCTTAATTGTTATTTATAAATGTTGCAGTTCCGAATTCATCGAGTTTTTAACCTCTATAGCCCTAGTGTATGCTTGGCGCCCTGCTAGCTAGATCTAGAACACCGCGTAAATTGAGAATTTTACGCGTTTTTGCCGCGACCTTACAACAGCAAAAATGTCTCAGTCCTTCGAAATCATGACCGATTCCTGTAGGGTTTCTTGCTTTAGTTTATTTTATAAACGGCGGAATAAACACTATTATTATTGATAATAATAATAACCACTATAATACTTACATAAAAGAAAGCGAAATAAAACTCCCATAATTTTCCGGCAATTTTAGCCCATTTAAATGTTACCTACAATTTAAGGACAGAGTATTGCATTTATTACAGGATGCAATTTTATTTTTGGGACATGTGTGGGGGGTCAATAGAAGCTTAATCTCAAGTTTGTGGGGTCGCCACCCAGGTCTCCCGGCCGCCATCTTGAAAAAGGGGTGAAAACACTTTTTTCGCGATATCTCGTAAACTATGCATCTTACAAAAAATTCGTCACGTCATAATTTGTAGCAAATTGTTTTGTCTTTCAAAATTTTTGTAAGACGCATAGTTTACGAGACATGCACGCGGGCAACCGTAGCACAGGGGGCACGCTGCGCGCCCCCGCCCCCCCCCCCCCCCCTGTGCTGAGGTTGCCGCATGCCTCTCAACCCAGGCCTGTGGGGGGGCCCGTGCAGGCTGGGGCCCGGCTGGAAAATGCCACCTCGACTGTATGGCCAGTCCGACGCTGGGTGCAACCACATTCAAAATGCAATCGCATGTTTGCAGCCTCATGCGGACGCGGGACAATCTAGGCAGAGTTTTTCTTCATCTACTTGTACTGACACTGTGTATTGCTTTAGCCGGGTACTCATTAGCCATTAGTTATGACCAATCCCCATTTGTTTACCCAATGATTCTGCAACTCTGATTGATTAGGGACTCCTTCAATTAGTATCATTCTGTAAGGTTAATTTTTTACTTCAGTTTGGTCCCCTAACCCTACCTCAGTGGCAGCGTTTTCAACACTACTCACTGAGACCCTATCTCCTTCATCATCGGATATACCATCTCTATTCCTCCCTCTCTTGTATCTCTTGATGTTGAGGTGATAAAGGGGGGGCCCTTATCATCTGTGTGCTCACTAATTTCTTTTGTTGCATATTCAAGGTTACATACATACCAAAAAGGCTTATGTGTGGGACAGAAAGGAATTTGGACTTTTGATTTTGTTGTCTTCGATAGCCTGTAGAGCAGCGCCGGTCTGCATGTATTTCCGTAAGTTTCCCGGATGTTGTGGGAGTATGATCTTGAGTTATGCGTCACTGTCCTTCACGTAATCGGGTGATTTGCTGATATTGCTTTGTGCTAGTTGAACAACCGTACCGGACTGATTGATTTCCTTTAAATATGAATTTGAACCAATGAAATTTGTACCTCTATCCGATCTGACGAGTGAAGGTAGGCCTCGTCGACTGACAAACCTGGTGAATGATGCGACGATGGCGTCGGTGGTCAATGCTGATACCACTTCAAGGTGAACCGCCTTGGTAGCTAAACATACAAAAACACATAGGTAGGCTTTGTATCAAGAATGGTAAGTTTTTTTTATTTCGAGAGAGTAAATTACCTTCTGACCATTCGGAGTCTGTGTAAGATGTTTTATACTTTAAGATATTTGGTCTATCTTTGGCAATGGTCATCATTTTTACCTCTGAAATCCTTATTTTATTAAGAGTCGTAATACCTATATCACCAATTAAACTTTTCAGAGAAATAAAATCATTGTGTGACAGCTCATTTACTCTCAGTGGCTTCCCAGTTTTTTTAGCTTCCTTAATTATCTGTACTTATTGGCTGGGGACGTAAATAAGACCTGACTTTAACGATCGCTTTATTTGTTTTTCAATCACCGAATGTACTGAGTCGCCTTCATTCTGAGTATGACCCGCTATTAAAAAAATATGACTAATCGAATTTAATTTATTGTATTTCATTACTGCATACATGTACACCCCGACGATATATTTATTTTTATTCTGCCCGCAACAATTATCCGAATAGAACACTAAATCAATGGGCCGTTGCCGGTATGACTGTGCAGTTCATTGTCGATAAATTTAAGCAAGCAGCTCCCGATTTCATCTGCACCTCGATATCCTTCACCCTCATGCCAAAAAAAGCTTTCACTTTTACTTTGATTTACAATAGGCTCACCATTATTACTGTTACTTGTTGTCGGTTTACTTCTTTTTTTTCCTGTGTTTTCTGCTTTCAATTTGCTTACTGTGAATTTCATGTTATTTAGATTATACTCTTATAGTAAAAAACAGAAACATCACCACGCGGTATTTGCAAAACAGTCTGTAAGTCGTATGCAGCCACAATCAGGGTTTTTGTTTATCTTAAGAGCCTCCTTGTCTTTCCTTTTTTCTTACCTAAATAAATTCTTTTCTAATAAGTGTTCATCATAATTTTTCTTAAGTTGTTCTTTATCTTCCAGATTTGAATTTTCATAGGCTACACATAACTCACATCTATCTTTCTTTGGCACAAAGAAATCTAAATTAAATTCACCATTAAAAATGCTACTATACATCACATAATTCCCATAATTTCGACCGTCTTCTTTACATATCCCTATGTAAGTCAGAAATAGTCTTCCCTCCATCAATGTATTCCCGTGTAGTCTGTGCCCTCAAATAATGGCTTTCAATTTTTGATATTCCTTTTATATGTACCCGTATTTCATTTTTAATAGTTTCGCCTACAGTATAATGTTTATTATGTTCTCCTCTTTGATCTTCTTTCAAAAAACCCCCAATTGATTTCTCTGTTACAGTTCTGATCGTTCTGTCATGAATATCCAGCGTATTTTTAAACATAGTTTTGCAGATCCTCTTCAATGAACCTTCAACCTCGAAATAGAAAGCATAATTGTTTTTTTCGCGGTTTTTGTGCTTTGACATACCGGTACTTAACTTCTATAGGTCTTAAATGTTTGTGTATAAATTGTCTTTGCTTCTCTAAATCTTGCAAAGCCCAATAAGAGTCAAACAATTGAAGCCTTATTTCATGGGTAAGAAAAGAACTGCATTTCAGTCTACACCGTTCGCCACAACCATCTTTAATACCTTTTTTAGGAATACTTCGTCCAGATTTTGTTTGATAAGGTAATTCTCAGTTTTCTTAGGATTTTAGTCACATTTGGCTTCCATTGTCCTTCAGCACGCTGTTTCTTACGTGTAATTAGCATTTTTTCCGTCATCTCATTTTGTTCCTGGGGGTGATTTCCGTCTAAATTTAATTCTTGTGAAGTTGATGGGCGGTCTTCGAGAATGTCTTAGCTTGGTTTTGCTCTAGGTGACAAAGATGACGAGATAGATGAGGATGAATTTGAACTGGACGAGGATGAACTTGAGTTGGACGATGAAGAACTCGAAGTACTCGATGATGATGATGATCAGCGATGAGGAATGACGTTATTTTTCTTACTCTTTTTACGAGCCGTGTCGTAATTTAGATCTTTAACTGAATCATCTGTTTCTTCCCCCCCAGTTACGTTATCTTGAATATGTTCTTCGTTTCCATTAGGATTACATTCTACAGGCAAATTAAAATTGTTTTTGAAGGTTTCAATTAAAAAAACATTTTCTTTGTTTAAGCTGTCATTCATTACTTTTAAATTTTTATTGGGTACCCTCTGAATTAAAAGTTGATTCATGTCAAGTTCCTAATGGGCAGCATAATCAAGAAATGATTCTTGATTATGCTGCCCATTATTAGGCTCCAGGCACAGAGACAATATTTTACTTGATCTGGACATTGTATGTGTTTGTAGATACAACCACCTAAGGACAATAACAACAATAATTTAATATAAGAAAATCTTTATAATGACTTCATTCATACAAGATACATAAACAATATTTAAATCCATCCTAACGTTACCTAAAACAGTGACAAGTTTCGATACAGATCAGTTTTAATTCAGAAAATAAATTACCTTAATCAAGTACAGTATCATAACTAGACACAGACTACTGTTAATGTCGAATCAAAATAAGTTTTTGAATTGCCTTGATCACATATACTGGCTTATTTCAAAACAGTGTACTTTATCAAAATGAAATTTTTGATTGTAATATAACCTTTATCACATATAATGTCATAACTCGATACAGATCAGTTTTATTGCAAAAATTAGAGGGGCTTTTGATATACCTTAATCACATAAACTGTCATATGTCGACACACTTCACTTTTATTGAATGCACCCACAGATTGTTTCCAATTGACTCAACACATGTAGTGACATACTATATCGACAAACACCACTATAAACAATATTCCGCTATACGACTATCTCGCGCAAGCAGTAACATGACACTGTTACGTTATAATGAGACACTACTGCCATCTAGGGATAAAAAAAATAAACTATAGACATGGCACTATTATTGGATATAAGATTTTTAAGTTTTCTGTAACTAATGGTCCAATAAAAGAGATTTTTTTTTTTTTAAATTGTGACACTATTTGAGCGGAGGTGCGATGTATTGTTACCGGGTTATAGGTAGTAGGTATCTAATATTGATACGCGAAGCAAAAACTTTGTACCCTTATTTATGAAAGTATGTAACGTGAAAAACCGGGTAAGTAGGGTAAATAAAAAATAAAACTCCGATTATAACTCCATTTATTGGTAATATCCGTTGGTTATAAGTTAAGATTAAGAAACGGAGTGGAATTAGCCGCTGGCTGGAACCGCACGGTCACGCAAATAAAGCGGTCGTTACAATTAAAATAATAGGTAGGTAAAAAAAACAGGTCGTGGCGCATTTGGTCGATAACGCTTGGGTATCTTAAAAGTTAAAGTTAATTTAAGTAATAAAAGGTCAAAGTTATCTGTAGGTCAAGGGTAGACTGCACGAAGGGTAGCTACAGGTCATATGGGACGTTGCCTGGGTAGCAGGACGTTAGGGTAGGTGTTTGCATCATTTTTTTTTTTTAAAAAAAAGGTGTTTGCATCGTAACATTACACCATAACATTGCAGTATAACATTGCATCATAACTTTGCAGTATAACATTGCACATCCTGTCCACAGAGTACCTTTTATATATAGGGAATAGAGATCTAACTTCACGATTTTTTACAATGATGACTACTAGCGACATCTCGATCCCTTGGATGGCAACTTTCTCTGTATGCAACGAAATTATCCTCAGGGTACCCACTATACTACACACGCACGATAAGTTGAGACTTGACAGTATGCAAAAATTACTTATTTGTATTATTCTATTTTATAAATATGAATATAAATTATCCAATATTATTAAATTAGTAAACTTTAATAACATAGGATAATGCATATTTATATTTATAATGAAGAATAATACAAATAAGTAATATTTTGCATACTGTCAAGTCTCAACTTATCGTGTGCGTGTAGCACTTAGATTCTATTTTTCATAGCTTTAAAAGGTATTTTAATGTATGGATTAATATAAATGCTTTAGATATCTTGGTCCTTTAAGCTTTAATTATATCCATACATTAATTAGTAAATAAAACATAATTTGGACTTAATAAATAATTTATTCAACTATGAGGTCTTTTACAATGTTTTTTGTAATAATTTTTAGCCATTATTTGGTACTGGTCAGTGTCGTCAACTGTTTCTTGCATTCCAGTTATAATTTTATTTAAAGTTTTGCAGTGATTGAATACAAAAAGTCTTATTGTTAAATTAATAACATGATCTTGTAATTTTTTTTTGTGTCTTTTACATTTAAAACAATCAAAATCAACTATTGCGTACAGTATGTTTTTATATATTGTACAATATTGATTCTTTCTAAATTTTCTTTTAACTCCTCCATTATTATGTCCTGGCAGAAATTAGCCTGATCACCGATTCAGTAGGACTGCAAAGCCAACGTTTATTAGAATATTCTCTGTATTTTATGTATTCAATTTCATTTTTACTTATTAAATCTTCATTACATTTAGAGCAACTTTTAAACACTTTTTTGGATTTTTTTATTATGTATCCACTTACATATTGTAGTGGCGCTATGATTTTTGGATTAGATTTTTCTTCTAAAGGCACCACATTTATATTTAATATTTTACTTATGACAATATTTGTTTCTGTGTTGGCTTCACAGTCCTTATTCGAAAATATTTTAATTAAAGCCTCACAATAGTCTTTTTGACAATTTGCACCTGGAGCGTGGATACTGAACAGGTTATTTATCAGTAATGATGCATATGCAGATTGGAAAGCATCTGGAGTTGGATTTATATTGCGGCACCCGTGGCTTCTGATTGCGCCAAAAAAGTTTTCAAGTGGATCTTGATTCAGGTGCCGCATCCAAACTGAGGTAATTTTAAATTCAGTATGCAACTTTTTTAATAAAATTTCTATACCTTCCAGTGTCCACAGCCAATTCTTTAAGGTTGGCACACTTTCCATGTTTGATGAATTGTCTTTATAAAATTTCATTGTCTTTAAAATCTTCTTGAATTCGAACCACTTTTTATGATGTACTGAATTCGGTTTTACTGCTTGCAGCAACGGTTTCGAAAACCTTTTCTTATTAGAAAAACTCCCATTGACAGAGTCAAATAGCTCATCAAAGAATATTAATAAATCTGCAGTATCCTTGCAGTCTTCAGGTAGTATTCCATTATCTGAAAGAAGGGTAAATTAAAATTACAAAATAATATTTAATAAATCAGTGGGTACTGTATTCAAAGTTTTATAATAATTAGAATGCCGATCTGGAGAAATATCCTGCATCTTACAGATATATCTTTTTAGCAGCTAAATAACACTATTCTGTAACCTCACTCATGCGCAGCATCAGAGTGACATTCTGGTAATCTAGTATCACAAGCCCATATAGAAGCTTACCATCAGAAAGGCCAGAGGCTTTTTTGTAACCATTTTTGAGGTTCTCACACTATTATATTCTTGGAAAGTATGTCACAAGAACTGAACCTTCCAGATATAAAATGGATTCATGGAAATTATTCAGTCTTTTACAGTTGAATTTTCTCTTAGCTATATAAAAAAATCTAAACTAACCTTTTTTTTTATTGAAAGAAATGCTGGCTTTTACTGACATTTCATCAAACAGGAGTATACACAGGCGTTCCTCAACTGTAATTTTTTCAGTCCTTGCTTTTAATTGAGCAAACACATTTTTGTTAATTCCGGCACCAATATTACTTTTACTTAAAAGTATTCCCAAAGTTTGTGGAGAAGGCAATACAAAAATGTTCTTTAAAAATCTGAATGCCTTCGGACTTTGCTTCATTATTGCCAATGAAAGAAGTTTTTCTTGCTCAGAAAATCGTCACCCTTTGTCTTTTTTACTGCTCTCCCTGAACTGCATCAGTTATGAGCCTTCCGGTACTGGTCATATTTTCTACAGCTTTAATAAACTTAATATTTGTAAATATTTTTTTAGCGTTCTTTAATGCTGTTGCTTGCTTCTTAAACATGTTTTTGTAGTTTGACAGTTTCGCCTTTACATGCAGTAATGTTTTATATAAATTCTGTTCCGTTTTTGTCAACTTTGATCTTAAAACTGATACCTTCCTCATTGCTTGACTTTCTGAAAATTAATAAAGACAAGTTTGTTAAATTTATCATAACATTCACTAAGGTTAAGGATTTTTTCCAAATATTAAATGTGTTCACTTTGCTCCATCTATACATTTCAATTGTTATTCAAACACTACCTAAAAAGTTGTTTTACTTTAGAGTAAATAAAAAATAAATAAATATAATCTGTTCACACATCACACTATACTACGAAATGAAACATCTAACGTAGGCTGACATAACTAACTTTATTGACAGTTTACTTTTTTATAAACTACTAAACATGCCGCCACCCAAGGACGAATTAGTCCTTTAAATTAGGATTCTATGGGTAATAAACATATTTTTGTAATAGGCCTTTTGAATATGCTATTATTACATTTAACCGTAACAACTCTGACTATTCCATCGTTACCTGGGTGAGTTTGTAATATTCTTCCTAACAGCCATTTTGAAGGTGGCAAACATTCATTTTTTACAATAACTAAATCATTAACTTTAACAGGATTTTTAATGGAATGCCATTTATACCGATGTTGTAGTGTAACTAAATATTCTTGAGACCATCTTTTCCAAAACGACTGCAACATGTGTTCAATATGTTGCCAACGGTTAAGTCTATTCATTGGAATATCAGTCACATTCTCGTGTGGAATTACACTTGGTGGGCCAAACACGATAAAATGTCCAGGAGTTAGGGCGGTATAATCATCAATCGAATTGGTTAAAGCAGAAATGGGACGTGAATTAAGACAACACTCTATCTGAGTCAAAAGGGTAGCATACTCTTCAAATGTGAGTTTATCATTAATTATTTATAATTTTACATTTATTTTAACATTTAATTGTTTATGCGAGGAATCTCGCCCAGAATATTTATCTGACCCTCTAATCTATCGGCACACGGAAGCTTCGCATACGAGTAGAATTCTTTAATATTCCCCATAGGGTAAGCACGTCGATAATAGTCCTGCAACTGTTCTCCAGGCTCTCTTGTTGGTATACGTAGATCCGACATTCTATTGCATATAAATGCAGACTGTTTTCCTGCACTTTTGAAGTCTATTGTTCCATCCACCATTTTCGGAACATGCTTCTGTAGCTTGTTGAGATATGGACTCAACAACGCAATGTCATCACGGAGATCGTCAACCGTGTGATCTCTTGGTATTATCTCATCAGGGTTCTGCAAGACATTGTTAACCCAAATCGCCCCTGGTATGGGATTGTTCTCAAAGAACTGACGTCTGTATCTCTCTGGCGTAGCTGGATTCGCCAATGATTCTACTGTTCTTCTAAGAGACGAGTATAGTATATTTTGGGGCTGTGGTATAAAACGACCACGGTCGTCTACCTCTGCACGTGAAACGGCTGGGATATATATCCCTTCATCGTAACTGATGATGCCAACGGCGTTTATCAATCTCTTAATTGGCTCCGGTGCGATAGTTACTGTTTGAGCAACATGCAATAGCTCAGCGCTGGCCTGGTATCTATACACAAGCTCAGTATCTCGGGCCGGCAATGGGTAAGCGGTTTTCAAATTTTCCAGTTTTGCTTCTAACACCGCTAGAAATACGCGATATTGCGCGTAAACATTAGGTACCTGAATTTCATGGTACGTGACAGCTATAAAATTAAGGTGACATAACCCTAAGCCTATTCCTCGCGTTGTAATTGACAGTGTAATTGCTTTAAGGGTATGGTTCTCACCAATTCTAGCGAGTACTTCTTCGCTGGATTTCAAGCCTGGATGTAAAGAAGTTTTAATTACATCATCGAGCCTAGCCATAGTTTTGGCTCCTTCTTTTCGTCGTTTATCTTCGACTCTAGCTGTCTGAAACCCTTGCCTAGAACGAGTTTGACCTCGTCCTCTTCTTGGTGGACGCGTCATTCCGCGAGCTGGAGTTGGTAGCAATCCAGCATATCCACTATAAACATCGTAACGTTGGCGACTAGCGCCGGAAGGATTAATACTCTCGTATTCCATTATACAATGGATTGGATTTCTCGGGACTGGAATCAGCACCCCTAAAAATCGATGAATGTAATGAATACAAATGTTCACACATCACACTATACTACGAAATGAAACATCTAACGTAGGCTGACATAACTAACTTTATTGACAGTTTACTTTTTTATAAACTACTAAACATGCCGCCACCCAAGGACGAATTAGTCCTTTAAATTAGGATTCTATGGGTAATAAACATATTTTTGTAATAGGCCTTTTGAATATGCTATTATTACATTTAACCGTAACAACTCTGACTATTCCATCGTTACCTGGGTGAGTTTGTAATATTCTTCCTAACAGCCATTTTGAAGGTGGCAAACATTCATTTTTTACAATAACTAAATCATTAACTTTAACAGGATTTTTAATGGAATGCCATTTATACCGATGTTGTAGTGTAACTAAATATTCTTGAGACCATCTTTTCCAAAACGACTGCAACATGTGTTCAATATGTTGCCAACGGTTAAGTCTATTCATTGGAATATCAGTCACATTCTCGTGTGGAATTACACTTGGTGGGCCAAACACGATAAAATGTCCAGGAGTTAGGGCGGTATAATCATCAATCGAATTGGTTAAAGCAGAAATGGGACGTGAATTAAGACAACACTCTATCTGAGTCAAAAGGGTAGCATACTCTTCAAATGTGAGTTTAGTATCCCCCACAACACGATTGATGTGATGTTTCGTTGAACGCACACCTGCCTCCCATAACCCTCCGAAATGTGGCGAACCTGGAGGTATAAAGTGCCACTCAGTGCCATCTGTAGCTAATAACTCGCGCAATTCTACAGGCAAAGATGATCTAGCTTTGTTCAACATTTTTGTTAACTCAAAGTTTGCACCAATGAAATTAGTTCCACAGTCTGAAAACAAATGAGTACAATGCCCACGGCGAGAAGTAAATCTTTTGAATGCAGCTACAAAGGCACTAGTTGATAATTCTGAAACTAATTCCAAATGTATAGCTTTAGTTGAGGTACAGATAAATACTGCAATATACGCTTTATACAAAGTAGCTTTCTTAAGCTTTGAAGATCTTAGATAGCAAGGACCAGCAAAGTCAACACCACTACTAGAAAATGGTTTGGAGGCGGTAACTCGTGCTGATGGCAGATTTCCCATCAATTGAGTAGCAAATTTTGGAGCATATCGTATACAAGAAATGCATCGCTTAACATGTAATTTCACAAGAGACTTAACATTGGTGATCCAATATGTGGATCTAATAACATTTAACATAAGCAATGGTCCTCCGTGCAAGGTTTTCTTATGTGTGTAATCTATGATCAATTTAGCTAATTGCGATTTTCCAGAAATTACAATAGGGTGTTTGGCGTCGTAAGGGATAGGGGCATTTTTAAGCCTACCACCTATTCTTATTATGTTATGTTCATCAATAAATGGACGTAAAAAATACAAAGGACTCTTTTTTGAAACACATTCACCATTCGATAGTTCATTGATTTCAGTTTGAAAATGATACATTTGTGAAATCTTAGGGCCGAAACTGCGTTAAGCGGGCACCCGCGCGGGTACCCGGCGCGTGACACCGCGCGTGGACCCGCGCGTCGACCCGCGGCGGGCCCCGCGGGCACGTGACGGGAAACCGTCGCGGGGACCGCATAACGCAGCGTCGCTAGTTCAATTTTAAGGGTTTGCAAGTACAGTCGTGTCGATGGAGAGCTTAATATATTATTACATAGCAAAACGACGATCAATGGCAAAAAAGAAACGGCAGCCAGTAAGCCCGTTTATTGAATCGAGGTTGTTATGTGGGGAATTCGTTGTAAAGTTCGGTAAATTAAGAGAAAATGAAAACATATTTTACAAATATTTTAAAGTTTCGACACAGGTCTACGACGAATTATTTTCGAAACTGGAACCGTACTTGAAGATCAGCAATATTAAAGTTAAACGTGTATCAGTCATATCATCAATGGAAAGGCTGGCAATAACATTGCGGTAAGTAAAAAATACCAATTTGTTCTTTATCTTTATTTTTGCTTATACTATGTAATTTACAAACTTTTGCTACTAATTATAATTATTTATCTCCTTATAAATCACAGTTCTTTACTTATACGTTCACACATAGGTGACTATTATTAATAATTAGGTATCACTTGTTCCTCATCACTTTAATTTTTGTTTATACATATTTAACACGTTATTACACTAATCATAATTATTTATCTAGTCTTGAATCACATTTATAATCACAGTTCTTTACCTTGTACGTTCTTCCTATTATTAATAATTATAATTTGTTCTCCATAATCTTTGTTTTTGCTTAGGTATACATCAAATATTTGCTAGTATGCTGTTATTATATCACTAATCTTTATTATTACTACTCTCGAAGTTTTCAGTCTCGTATTATACTTTGCACTAATTAATCTTCTATTGTATCTGTATTTTGGGTTTCAGTTTCACCAATATTAAGTGATACTAAATCAATGTTACTAATTGTATTTTGCGTTTCTGTTGTACCAATATTAAGTGGTGGTAAATCATCTAGAGTAATAATTGTTTCTCTTTCAATTTCGATCATAGCTTCTAATACTTTAGTCCGAAATAATAATTTTTTGAATGTACTAAATTTTTTTACAGTAGGTGATCAATGATTTAAAAAAATTCAAGTCTTCGTCATCATTAAGTAGATTGTTTTGTTTTACACTTTGCAACAATTGTTTTTCAAAAGGAGTTGGTGATTTTGTGCGTTTACGTTTTCTTGATGTCTCTAATTCTGTATTACTAAAATTTTCAGGATTCAAATTTTCGGCACTAGTGCTAGGTACTGAGATATTGTTATCATTTGTTGATGAGTTTTGATCTTCACTCAGATTATTATCTATCGATTCATCTGCTTCACCACCCGCGTTGGAGTCCAAAAAAGTTAACATATTATAATAAGTATATTTCTTTCCTGTTTTGGCACCTGAACCTGATTTCAGTTTTTTAGAATTTGCTTTCACTTTCATGTATGTGTCTCTTGCAGTTCTCCAACGTGCTTGCAGTTTTGTTACTGAAAAAATAAAGAATAATATTTAATTTACAGGTACCTGACAAGCGGACATACTTTTGTCGATATACATCTAGCGTATCAAGCAGGAATCACCACAATCAGAACAATAGTAAAAGAAGTCTGCCAAATTATAAATGAAAGATTGAAGGAAGACTGCATACCGAGATTTACACGAGCGCGATGGGAAGATATAGCAGAAGGTTTTTTGACACAAGCTAATTTTCCCAACTGTTTAGGTGCAATAGACGGGAAACATATACGAATCATAAGACCTCCCCACAGCGGTTCACTTTACTACAATTATAAGCATTTTTATTCTATTGTGCTACTTGCGATGTGTAACGCAAATTATGAGTTTACCTACATAAATGTGGGAGTACAGGGTAAAGAGTCTGATTCTGCAATTTTTACCCAAAGTCGCTTATTGCAACAAATGAATAATGATTTACTGGATATTCCTCCTGCTAAAGAGTTACCCGTGCTATACAACAACAAATCAACCAACACTGCAGCAACCGCACCACTGCCCTTTGTTGTTGTAGGAGATGAAGCATTTGGATTGTCTAGTCATGTCATGCGGCCATATGCTCGAGCTCTCAATTTAAACCACAAGAAAAAAATATTTAATTATCGGTTATCAAGAGCTCGTCGTTATATTGAGTCAACGTTCGGTATCATGGCTAATAAATTCAGAATTCTTCATCGTCCCTTAAATGTTTCAAAAGAGAACGCTGTTTCTTTTATTAAAGCGATATGTATTCTACATAACTTTGTTAGATCTAGACAAGATGACAATAATATCAACGATGTTGTCATAAATTCACGCCATATTCGTGATGTCGAATATGGGTTTGGGAACACTCAAAGAGACGCGTATACAATACGCGACAAATTCTCTGATTACTTCGTCGCAGGTGGTAAGGTATCGTGGCAAGATCGTAGTATTTTTTGAAACATCCTCAAAAGTAAAGTCATCCATCCTTCAGATACCCTCTTGTATTAGTAGACTAAACAAACGGGGACAATGTACAGTCAAAAGCATAAACATGTATACATGCCGACTTTTTAAAAATCAAATATCTCTGAAAATATTTAAGCAACACCGCACTACTTTGCTTATTAAAAGATACATTAACCTATCTTCCTATAAACAAAATAAGGCGAAATTATCTTAAAAATTTTCAGAGATATTTGACTTTTAAAAACTGGGTATGTATACATGTTTATGATTTGACTGTACCGGTACACGGCCTGACTGTACCGGTACACGATTGAATTGATTCTAGCTTTATTTAAACTTGTATAACAATAAAACCTATCCTATCCGCAGATTAATTAGAGTTGTATATAATATATTGAGAACACAATTATGTATACCTATTATAGTGCACCTTTAAACTGAAAATATAATTAAAAAATGCTTACCTGTTGTTTTTTTTTCCGCGTCACTGTAATTTTCAAAGTTGTCAAATAATTCGTTACAAATTTCAAGCCATGCCGCTGTTCGTGCATCTCGATCTTTATAAAGTTCATTAGCCTGGTTCCATATGGCAGGGCGACAATGCACTTCCACAATAACTCTTTCTGTGTCGAAAGACATTTTTCTTTTTACCTTCCTCCGTGCGTGCTACCCGTATCACACAGCGTTACTGACTGAACAAGCCCGCGCGTACTCCCGCTGCCGAGTCCCCGCGCGTACCCCCGCGCGGACGGGTCGCCCGGATACGGGCCACGCAGCGCGGGCGCGGGGCAATACTCTCCGCGACGGAAGCCCGCGCGTGTCTCCGCGACGTAGCAATTTTGTATGAACCCGCGCGGGCGCCCGCATAACGCAGTTTAGGCCCTTAATGCAACAATTCATGGACTGTATTAATTCATTAGTTGTTAAATACTTAGGGAATTCATTAGACATATTTGTATCTAAAGTTACTCTATTTGT